AGCATAGGTACATTTATTCCACCAGCAATCTGTGCCATTCACATCTACTCTAAGACCAATCTCATGCTAGGCTGATAGCATAGGTACATTTATTCCACCAGCAATCTGTGTACATGTAATGTGGCCAAGTGGTCAATGAGGGGAATTTTTCCATCAGTCGTTTGGTCAGTGGTTTTTCTGAGGGGGTATACAGTGTACATATACATGTATGTACATGTATAAGGTAGATAAGGTAGTACACAGTGCATTTGAAGAACACGTGAAATTCATGGAAAGACTTTCCATTTGCCCCAATGATATTTTAGCCTATAACTTGTGCATTTAAATGAGGAAAAAATTGCAATATTTTGAACAGCATGTATGCAGCGAAATCCAAGATATTAGGTCCAGTTTATTAGACAGTATGCAAGGCCACTCTATGTGACATCAAGCGACCAAATTACCTGACAAAACACAGTCACAGTGCCTGCTATTATACTGGTATGGCTATATCAATCTATGTTGCAACGAAACTCAACAGGTGTTTCATTCCCAACAACATTGTCATCACAGCTACCGTGACTGTGTGATTTCTAGAGATCCGTTTTCATCTTTGAATTAGTCAAGATATATATTTTCAAATGTATTTGTTTTTCAAAAATCTGACATCTCCCACATGTACATACATGTAATTACGTGTATTCACTGTGAAGTTTGCTATCTTGCGCCGCTATACGATCTTTGGTGCAAATACAGGTGCACTAGCAAATGCAACGTGCAAGTACACCTGTAGGTTAGGGGTTAAAAGGTTACACAACCCTAATCCTTAACCAAAATTTAATCAACCATTTTTGACCTAAGTTTCTGCAACCTCATGCACTCATGGTTAGCAAAATGCCCATTTCCAGCCACAGGTTTATTGATACAACAGAGCATGCACAGTATCCTCTTCAATATTCAAACTACGTTATGCACATGAAAGCACAAGTGCACTGTCGGTGTATATGTTTGTATTGGACAAAGAAATACCATGAGCAATCCTAAAACAAGCACAAAAATGCTTGTTTTCTTTTAAAACGAACAAAACAAGGCTCCACCAGTAGCCTGTGTTCTAATAATTGCTATACATGTTACTGTAGAGCTTCATCACTGACAGAGGGCAGTAGCTTGTGTTCTGATAATTGCTATACACGTTACTGTAGAGCTTGATCACTGACAGAGGCAGTAGCTTGTGTTCTAATAATTGCTATACACGTTACTGTAGAGCTTGATCACTGACAGAGGGCAGTACCTTGTGTTCTAATAATTGCTATACACGTTACTGTAGAGCTTTATCACTGACAGAGGGCAGTAGCTTGTGTTCTGATAATTGCTATACATGTTACTGTAGAGCTTTATCACTGACAGAGGGCAGTAGCTTGTGTTCTAATAATTGCTATACATGTTACTGTAGAGCTTCATCACTGACAGAGGGCAGTAGCCTGTGTTCTAATAATTGCTATACATGTTACTGTAGAGCTTCATCACTGACAGAGGCAGTAGCTTGTGTTCTGATAATTGCTATACATGCTACTGTAGAGCTTTATCACTGACAGGGGGCAGTAGCTTGTGTTCTAATAATTGCTATACATGTTACTGTAGAGCTTCATCACTGACAGAGGGCAGTAGCCTGTGTTCTAATAATTGCTATACATATTACTGTAGAGCTTCATCACTGACAGAAGCAGTAGCTTGTGTTCTGATAATTGCCATACACGTTACTGTAGAGCTTTATCACTGACAGAGGCAGTAGCTTGTGTTCTGATAATTGCTATGCATGCTACTGTAGAGCTTTATCACTGACAGAGGGCAGTAGCCTGTGTTCTAATAATTGCTATACATGTTACTGTAGAGCTTTATCACTGACAGAGGGTAATAAGCTTTTCAGGTTGTTTCTGAGCTTCTTCCATACTACCTAATACATGTACATNAATCTGTCTACATGTAATGTGGCCGAGTGGTCAATGAGGGGAATTTTCCCATCAGTCGTTTGGTCAGTGGTTTTTCTGAGGGGGTATACAGTGTACATATACATGTACATGTATGTACATGTATATGGTAGATAAGGTAGTACACAGTGCATTTGAAGAACACGTGAAATTCATGGAAAGACTCTCCATTTGCCCCAATGATATTTTAGCACATAACTTGTGCATTCAAATGAGGAAAAAACTGCAATATTTTGAACAGCATGTATGTAGCGAAATCCAAGATATTAGGTCCAGTCTATTAGACAGTATGCAAGGCCACTCTATGTGACATCAAGCGACCAAATTACCTGACAAAACACAGTCACAGTGCCTGGTATTATACTGGTACGGCTATATCAATCTATGTTGCAACGAAACTCAACAGGTGTTTCATTACCAACAACATTGTCATCATGGCTACCATGACTGTGTGATTTCTAGAGATCTGTTTTCATCTTTGAATTAGTCAAGATATATATTTTCAAATGCATTTGTTTTCCAAAAATCTGACATCTCCCACATGTATATACATGTAATTGAAGCTTACATGATCACTTTGATTAATACTTTTTAAGGGTCTTTATTTAAATACTTGCTCCCTCGACAAACTGGACCCATCTGCTCATACACAAAATGTTTAGGCCTCTGCAGAGAAGCATATTGCTCTACAAGCCAAATACGGCACTGTCGTGATATATTGTGCAGAGTATTTTTGGGTGCACTGTGGTCTTGACAACTTGGCATCATCATTTCATGTATACAGTCAATGTAGCATTTCTGAAACAAAATGTAGAAAAACAACCCATGATTTTTCCTTTTTCGGGATCACCCTTTCTTGCACAACAGTCACATCACTGCAACAGTTATCCAAAAGAATTATGTTTTATATCAAATTAAAAGGAAAATATTTTCAAATACTTCAGCTGCATATTGAGTGTCGAATTCCATTTCAATATGCAAACATTAGGTTTCAAGATTAGTTGTGCATTGGTGTTAGTACGCAGGGGAATGGTGTGAATTAAGTGGGTAAAGATTAGGGTTGGCAATAGTGCTAAGATCATATAGCGCCATAGGCGCAAGATGGATAACTCTGCCCAGAGGAATTACCATGGGCGCCATTTGAGCAAGCGATAATTGCTATAAATGTTACTGTAAAGCTTCATCACTGACAGAGGGCAGTACCTTGTGTTCTAATAATTGCTATACAGG